GGACACTTTCATAACGCGGATGCAGGTAGGCAGCGTCTCGAATATATTGCTCTAGCCATATAATGCCGAAACCACAAGCCTACTGCAGCTTTATCTCTATCCGTGGGAGGTAAAAACTCTGTGCTTCCCATCGTCAAACGCGCCAAGCAAAGGCATACGAGAGGACCACAATCCCCTCTGGCTCCCGGCGATTGCTGTGGCGCGGTCTCGTCTCTGACAACTGTGACATTGAACTTATTTGGCTTCTTGTGTCCAGAATGACTCCGATACTTAATCCCATCCAAGAATTTAGACAAATGAGAGCTCCATCCCTTGAAAATATCTCTCAAATCAGACAGTGATATGTAATTGATCATGCTGTCATACACTATTATCTTCAGGGATGGGAGCTGAAGTTGGACGAGAAGCCAGTGACGACGTTCCAAAACAGGGATAAACACCTGCGATCATAAGTAATAATTCATTTATTTGCGCACTTATTTATTAACACCTTTAAAAAATTTAAAAAATAAACACTAACCTTATCGACCTCCCACCATGCAGGATAAAGTTTAGCTTGTCCATTGCCCAACAAAAATGATTCATCTCGTTGATTCTTCAAGTGAACTGCGTGAAAAGCCGTCGGCATTATTGTATATAGCAAATTTTTTTTATTTTTCCTAAGCTTCCTTATTATTAGTAGACATGACACCCACGCATCGATATGCTGTTTTACAAAAAAAATACATATATTAGTGAATTACATTAATTTTAAACAAATTAATCAAAATCATATATAAGACAAATATAGTCTTACCTCCCCATCCAAATAGCCACTGTCTTCAACCCCTAATAGCACACCCCACCAAGACCGATCAAGCAACAAAAACATTTCATCGTTGAGTTTGCTGATGTCAGTGTAACACCCTTGGCTCCGCTCATGTAGATAAAAATCAACTGCGGTCTTAGCCCAAAGGGTATTATCCACAATTGTTTCCAGTAGTTGTCTCCTCTCCACTTCAGATACCGGAAGGGTACTAGCCGGTAACTCATACGAGAGCCAACTCTCATCCATCATGTCCGGAACCGGTGGGGGTTTCTCAATACTTCGATATATTACCCCATGTGAATCGGGCTCTGGAATGGTGGGAGGGACCTCTTCAACGATGACAGTGGCCTCTTGAACGGTGGGGGGGGAATCTTGAGTGAGAATAGGGGCCTCTTGAATGATTGGAGGGGACTCTTGAGGGATGACCGGTGAGTCGGGCTTCTTCTTGCGGAGTCTTCGCACCATTGGGGTGAACGGAGACGTAATAGCACATCCACGCCGTCTGATGCGTAAACTCCGTCGTGCAAGGAAAACCCGACGTAAAGCATCCACCTTATCGGGCCGCTAAAAAAAATTAATACATAAATCAGTAAATAAACAGACATGATATTAAACAAAGACAAATATGTTTCAAACTAGCATTGTATTCACCCAAATCATTATTCTATCATAGTTCACAAAATGCTCAGATAACATTCCAGAAGTAAGCACTTATATAAACATTTAAAAGGACAACATATATAAACATTCCAGAAGAAGAATAGTTTACTTTCGCAACACGAAACTTAAAATCGCAATGCGAAATGACTATCGCAATGCGAAAATGGCTATCGCAATGCGAAATGAAAATCGCAACGACAAAATCGCAACGCGAAATGAAATCGCAACGACAAAATCGCAACGCGAAATGAAAATCGCATTGCGATTTTCATTTCGCGTTGCGATTTTGTCGTTGCGATTTTCATTTCGCATTGCGATAGCCATTTCCGCGTTGCGATAGTCATTTCGTGTTGCGAAAGTAAACTATTCTTCTTCTGCAAATTGAAACTTGAATGGATTGCATTACTTCAACCAAAAGACAAAAACAAAACCAAAAACAAATACTAACAAAAACAGATTGGCAGCAACCGAATGAATTACGAGTATGAAAAATCTTTAACTTACCTCGTTGCGTAGAGTATGAACCTCATTCTGCAACGATGCTACCATCTCACGTAGAGCGGCTACCTCACCGCGTAATGTAGACACCTCAACACGCCATGCACCATCGTCTTTGCGTAAAGTACCGACCTCCTCACGCAAGGCATTGACCTCATCACGTAACTCCCCTAACTCATCCCGTTGAGGTGGAGGTGGAGAACAGGGAGATAAACGTCGTGGCATCTTTGCCGGTCGCCTATCTTGCGGTGATGGTGGAGAAGAGGCTCGATGATGTGACAGAATAGGTGATGGCTGTCGTTGTGGAGGTGTATAGCCGGGTCGATCAGATGATGGCTCTGGGTGGGGTGATAGCTCTGGGCGAGGTGATGGCTCCCGAAGTGGAGGCTGCTCATCAACCGTTCCATAAAAAAAACGCTTACTAGCTTGCCACCAATCAGTGGCAAGCTCAGCTTCCGTGGGTGTCAGCCTCTATAGAGGAGTGTTGGCCTCCTAACAATATAAAAGCTCAAACAAAGTTAAATGTGTACTAGTAATAACTTGTTTATAAACATATTGTAGTATTTATGTTAACTTACATTATTTATTGTCGTATACCGTAGTAAATCTTCCCATTGCAAGGTTCGTTTCCTCTTCCAGGAAATAGCCCTGGGAATATTATTTGAAGTTTTTATTGCATATGTCTTCATGGCGGGAAAGGCCTCAAATATCCAAATCTACAAACAATATAATAACAAACATTAGTAATTTTTAAATAATTACTTATAATTTTGGAAACATTATATAAAAATTCTTACCTTAAAGGCCCAAATAAAGCCTGTCAAAGTGTATTTGGAACCATCGCCATGCAAACTTTTTCGATCATCCAAGGCAGACGATAACTTATTCCATGTAGCTTTCCATAAATACGAGCCCCACGGAAACAGGTTCCACGCATTTAGGTCTTCTACCAATTTGATTAGATCATTTGGAATAGGTTGTCTGGCCTCTCTGCCTAAAAAGCCGGCATGCAAAAGAATTAGAAGGTATACTCGGACAACGTCGACGTCATCCATCCGAGTAAAACCATCTTTATTATTCAAAAATCTTGTCAGGTCTTCTACGTGTAGACTCGGCCTCTCCAGCTCAGGAAAAACCCGGGATAGCCATGATGGGCGGGTAATGTGTCTAGTGTACCGACCTACATCATCGTGTCCGAAGCGTAGACCGGTGATTAAGCAAAACTCCTCCCGCCCAAAACACGTATACGCCGGTGGAAAATCAAACCATATCTCTTCATCACGACGTTGTATAGTCTCTGGTAGATCTCTAGTCATGGTTTGAAGAAACAGGTGTGTCAACATCGCATCTCCACCGGGATGTTGTACTTTCAGCCATGGCCCGAAGCATGTATCCTCAAACATTTTCTTTGTGCAGGTGAAAGCTTCGACGCAATTGTTTTGGCCAGGCTGACTTTATTTCTCAAGGTCAATTGAGCCGAATAAAAGTTCTACAAAAACAATAAACATACTAAATTAGATATACCAAAAACTACACTGTGAAGATATACCAAAAACAATAATAAACATAAATAGTAGTAGTTTATTCTTCAAACTTAAATATGCAACACTGTGAAGTAATCGCAACACGAAAATGACTATCGCAACGAGAGAATCGCAACGCGAAACTAAAATCGCGTTGCGATTTGCATTTCGCGTTGCGATTCTTGGTTGATTTAATAAGCAATCTAAGTGAAATGGTTAATCTATTATTGAAATTACCAGTAAACTTATCATCAATTTCAATATGAAAAACCTAATAATAATGCAAAAATTTCAAAAAGAAAATAATTAAAAAAACTAACCCTCGTTGGTTGATTTGGTTGATTTTTCATTTCTGATTGTGAGGGTGGCTCTGAGAGATTTAGATAGACGGATTTCGCCGGAGATGGGGACGGATTTCGTCGGAGATGGGTGAGAGAGTGAGAGATGGAGATGGGACTGAGTTGTGATTTTAGGTTTTAGGTTATGAGTTGCGATTACGGGATATACTGTGGACAGTTCAGTGTTCCAATATATTAATATTCATGTTTGGAATTTAAAAATAAAATACTTGGCCAGGATACTAATGGCGCTTTGAAAATCGCATTGCGATTATGTAAATCGCGTTGCGAAAGTCAGTATCGCGTTGCGAAAGTAAGTATCTCGTTGCGATTTTGTATTATCGCATTGCGATAGTAAGTATCGCATTGCGATTTTCCCAATTTGCGTTGCGATTTACTTATTCGCATTGCGATTTTCCCAATTCGCGTTGCGATTTACTTATTCGCATTGCGAATTGGGAAAATCGCAACGATACTGTAGACCATCGCAACGCGATTTTCAACTATCGCATTGCGAAAATACAACGCGAATTTGCGATAATGGAGATCGCGTTGCGAATTAGCGATCGCATTGCGATTTTGTTGGTCATTTTGGCAAATCCGAAAAAAGTTGGTTAAAATCGTATATTATATGGGATTTTTGGTCACTGAGGTTATTTTCTCTAATTTTAATTTTATAGTTCCTCTGGACGCATTACTGCCATGTTGCTATTGTCGACTATATACTGCATGAGATTCGGGTGACTAATGAGCTCGTGTACATCGTGTCAGTCCCGCTGATCTTGTATGAAATAGTCGAGTGAAATCCTACCGAGCACGTCATTTGATAATTTAACTGTGTCCAATCGATTCGCCACATCCACCTTGATTGGATGAGTTGCATCGATTGACGCGACAAGAAAAGATGAAAATTAATTGGGCAAACCATAATGTGATGTATCTGAACGAGTGGGTACGAAGATTCGAGATGACGCCCATGACTCAACCCATCTTCGACCACAACGTGAGGTGATACCAAGAATATGGGATGCCATATATATTGACCGATTAGGAGCGAGTGCGAGAATTATATGTTCCTCCACAGAGTTGCCCACAGACAGGGAGGCATTGTGGGGGAGTCAAGGCAGAGAAGAAAAAGACAACAAGGTGCATCCTCCTCATTGGTAACAACACAGAGACCTCCTCAAACACCGCTTACACACCCCTGACCTTGTCTTCACCCACTCGACTCAATCAGTATTTTAGCAAATGGGGCAATTCTCAGAAGGTTTTCTCACTGACGTCTTTGACCAGTTGAATTCATCACCAACATAATTGGCAGCTAACTTTGGATCAAATATTGTTTACTAGACGCCGCCGTAGAGCATATTCTACACTGGTGCCGATTCCAGTGCAGTGGTGGATCGATTTCATATACAGCTGCCTATCCTAATGATAATGATATTGCTAAAGAGGAAGAAGAACCACAATTACGTCCGCGTCAGACTCGTCGTCCACCACAATGCGGAACTGGTAGACATAGGCTTTATTAGTTGTTATTTATTTCGTTCTTCAAAACTGAAATATTTGTACTAAATTATTTTATTTTGAGTTGATCAAAATATTTTCAGTGAAAATCGCACCATGCATCCTGCGATATCTATAATACGTTAGCAGAACCACGCATAATGTAAAACACGAGATACTAGGATCTCGCACTCTGTAACCCTCATTATTTGGAAATCACTTCTTCCAACCCGCGAGATTCTTGAAATAAAATAACCACAATTTAGTATTATCGGGAAACAACTCAACTAAAATGTCAAAGAGATAAAGCCTTATTGTTTTGGTATATTACGATGGAGAAATGATCAATGATGCATCTCTCGGTGTCATGTTTCAGTCCGCACATACTATGACAATAACGCTACCAACGAAGTTAACGTATAACAAGATGATGGAGGAAGTGAAGAAAAATGTCCCACATGCTCGCGGTACAAAATTGTTACCCTTGAAGTATCGACTACCGAAGTCATTAGAACCATTAACGTACACGATATACACTGTTGAGGATAATGATGATGTGCATATAATGGCTGGCACTCACTTGCAATATTTATTTGGAGGGTCGATGGAGTTGTATACATTGTTTTCTGATACTGATAATGATACCAATGTGCCAAGTTGGAGACAAGCGGAGTTTGACTTTGATCCAACTGTTGAAAGTCCGACAGTAAATTTAATAAACAACCTCAATTTGTTAAGCACACATGGTACACAAAACGACTTGGGTGCATCATCGTCTTCGATGCCAAGGCATTCTTGCGTTGCTAGATTCGAATTTGACTTCAACATGTCACCAAAGCAATAATCCATGTTTAACCCGTTCTATGATTTCTCATCTAGACGATATTCAAATTATATCCCTTCTGCAGATAATGTCTCACACATATGGGGAGACATTCTTTTATTGATGTGTGTGACGTTGATCTTGGGGAATCGGTTCATGGCCGATCTCATGATCGACGAACACCTGCAGCGGCGACTCACTTTGATTTAAACAAGGTTGAACTATTCCACTTTGAGGGGGATGATTCTAACGAAGAATCAATAAGGGAGTCTGACCCTGATGGTGATGAGTTAGGCCCCTTTTATGAAGAACCAGAAGACCTTGACATGCCACGAGAAGCAGAAGACAACGAAGAATATGGCACGACTACAACGGTTCCACATGTTGTGATGCATATTTCTTATTACTAACCACCATCGCCCTTTACAACAATTGATATGGAAACATTCAACGCTCCAGAATTTTCTCAATTCCCACATGTTGAGCAATACAATCAACGTAGTGATGGTGATCTCTATATTGGAATGGTTTTCAGGTTAATATAATGTTTTATTTTTTTATTATTTATTTTGATTTGTTTATTGGTAAGTTGTCAATTTTATTTACTCTTTTTACGAATAAGGTTTAGGATAAAAAAACAAGTTGTGGTTGCAATCAAGAACTACAACATTTGTCGCTCCATCATGTCAACTATGAAAAAAACTTATGCGGATAAGTACATCACTGAATGTCTCTACAAGAAGCATGGATGTAATTAGAGGGTTTGTGTAGCACGGTTGAAGACGATGAACAACCTTTGGAAACTCACAAAAATACGTCCAACCATATACATGCACTGTCAACATCTTGAATCAAGATCATCGTAACTTGGATGTGCACGTGCTTTCTGAAGCCTTCATTCCGCTGCTCAAATCAAATCCACGTGTTACGATTGCGACCTGTATTACTTCAGTTCCATCGCTATACTGGTACACAGTTGACTACCACAAAGCATGTTATGAATGCTTTAGACCCAACAAAAATTGTTCGGCTAATGGGAGAAATCATAAAATGAATTGCAACCATGACTTAAACTGATGCAGAAACACATTCCGGGAATAGTTGTGAAATTGAAAGCAGTCTCGGCGTACGAAAATGATTGTGTTGTACAAGGAGTCTGCCAATTCTACTGGCTTTTTTGGACTTTTCCATAATGCATTAATACATTCCCACACTGCAAGTCGGTTGTTCAAATCGCCTTCACAATTTTCGAAAAGAAATATATCGACTCTTGAAAATTCTTTCTTACGAACTTACAAACATATGTTCTATCACATGTGATGCATGATAGAGATGATGAAATTTGTCTTATTTCTGACAGATGCACTTGTATTAAATACGTACTCCAACGTATAGGTTCGTCTTGCCAACCCCCAATATTTATCATCGGTAATATTTACGATATATTGTTGCAAACTATTTACAGAAGTTCAAGAGTTAAGATGAGCATCTAATGGTGCTTCGAATGGGTACCCTACATGAGATTCGTTGATCGAGTTTACTTACTTGAAACTATATTCAAGGTTTATGAATACGAGTTCCCTCCCATTGGAAATGAATGAGATCCGGATGAAGCTGGTGATGAACCTACAATACGATCTGATTATGCACTACGATGAAAAAAAATCGGTAGTCCACGGTCAACCTCGATTTTTTGTGATGAGGATTTGGTCGAACATCAATAAAGAACCGGACAACCGAAATTATGCTCTATATGTAGGAATCTTGAACACACGAAGAACAAATGTTCCAATCGTTCAAGCACACATATCAATTAAATGACTTTTTTGTATTATTTCTTTTTTAATTAACAACACATATTACTTATATTTACAAGCCAAAAAATAACACTCAAATATGTCTATCAAACTATTTTTTCTTCTTACTTCACAAAACTATGATCTCTAACAATTTTCAATATCATTTTTACCCCGCTTAAATTGCAACACTATGCATTTGTAATTAAAATTTTAAAAAAAAAATAGTTTCCCACCCAGAAATAGTATCCGAACAATATTATAGACACTAAAGAGAGGGTAGGGAATCGAAAGAACCTCGCACTTTGCAAGCCACGAGACCCCCCATAAATCTCGTGATATTTTAGATCATAAAAATTATTTCACGCTTTACAATAAACGAGGTCATTTTATTTAATTGTTTTATTAGCTTACCTGTAAAGTGCTTCCAATATATCTCACGTATTGGGTGCAAATATTTAACATGCAATTTGCAAGCCCGAGGTTGTTCGATGTGAACGGTTTAGAGGATATTCTTCCAAATAATTACTGGAGTGCCGTATTTCTTCTAATCCTATTGCAATCATATATGAATTTCAACCTTTTTTATCTTTTCTTCTAATTTTTTCTTCTTCTTCAATTTTTCAAGCAGTGCTTGCAGTTCCTTGGGAGTTAAATCCTCTAGCTTGACAGTGCAGTTGGGGTTTCACTTTAATGAAACTAATAATTCCCCTGTAGCCTTTGTTTCTTCTCCTAAAAGAACAAAAACTAAGAAGTTTTCTGTAACTTGCTCTTCTTCTGCTACTGGTGAAGTTCATTCCATTGCTTTGCTCTTCTTTTTATTTTAGTTTTCTGGGCTTCTTGTGGTTGAGTTTAATTCAAAATGCGGTTTCGTTTCCCCCCCCCTTGATTAGGCTAGTTGGTAGTTTTGTTTTTTATATATAAATTATGGGTGTTTAGTGTATGATCAAAGGTTGTGCTTTTAGGAGAATTTTGTTCAGAATTGAATGCATTTTGTCACAAGCTACTGTTTGTTCTGAAAATGTCTACTTAGTCTGAATATAAGACCAGGACATAGTTGAAATGGATTAGATTCTTTTATAGCTATGTTTTTTTAGTATTGTAATGATTGGAGCATGGATGGGAATTGGTATGCCTTGGTTTAGGATGTAAAACCACTTCAATATTCAATGGTATTATGATGAAATTTTTTATTTTTTTATTTTTCTAATAGATGATAATATGATTAATGGTATAGTTATAAAAGTTGTGAACTTCCATGGTATTCAATTCGAGATCCTTCCCTGTAACCTGTACGAATTTGACTAATTATTCCACCTTGCTAGTGGAAAAGTTATTTTTGTACTGTTATTGTTGGTATATCCAGAATGACAAGAACATTCTTGTCTTTAGACTTTAGAGATGTTATCAACTTATGCTCGATCTTCATTCATCTGGTTTTTAGATCCATTGTTGGTTAAAGCTACAAGAGGGGATCCTGTAAGTCGACTTCCTGTCTGGATGATGCGCCATGCAGGAAGGTATATGGTTGTTTACAGAAAGCTTGCAGAGAAACATCCATCCTTCAGAGAGAGGTCTGAGACAACTAATCTCATTGTGGAAATTTCTTTGCAGCCTTGGGAAGCTTTCCGCCCTGATGGAGTGATAACTTTCTCCGATATGCTCACTCCACTGCCTGCATTTGGTGTTCCTTTTGACATTGAAGAAGTTAGGGGTCCTGTCATTCAGTCACCGATTCACTCTGAGGATTGCTTGAAGGCATTGCATCCTATTGACGTGGAGAAACTACATTTTGTTGGGGAGTCCCTTAAGATTTTCGCCAGGAGGTTATTTTCCGTTTTAATAGTATGCATATATAAAATATGTCTTACTAATTTTCTAAAAGTTTCTTTTTCTTTTCCTTATACAAGTTCTTTTTTATGTAGGTTGGAGATCATGCAGCGGTGCTGGGCTTTGTCGGAACTCCTTGGACAATTGCCACATATATAGTAGAGGGAGGTACAACACGCACTTACACAAACATAAAGAGTATGTGCCACACAGCACCAAATTTATTGAGGGCCCTTCATAGCTGAATACAATAATTTGATGGGGGTATATGGTATGGTCACATGACAACAAACTTGGCTGAGACAATATATCATCACTATGAGAGTGTACTATTTGTCTATCACGTCCGTTGTTAAAGCAACATATTATCGACTGGAAACCCTCAACCTTGGGAAGGCAAGCAGCTAACTAGATGGAATGTGGCCACCAAATTCACCCAGACCTCCTCAAAAAATTACAAACATTCCAACACAATTCCAACGCAATGAGTGGCATATGCTTCTCCCGCGAAATGTCATTATTATGTGTATCAGAATTTGCCATTGGAAGTCATACAACACAACGCATATGTGGTTAATTTACGGGAAAAAAACATGTGAGTGTGAATTCTTCCAAACTTTCAAATACTCGTGTGCGCACACCATTGTTGTTGCTTCTTCTATTCGAATACCCTATATGAGATTCGTTGATCGGGTTTACTTACTTGAAACTATATTCTAGGTTTATGAATATGAGTTCCCTCCCATTGGAAATGAATGAGATCCGGATGAAGTTGATGATGAACCTACAATACGGCTAGATTATGCACTACGATGAAAAAATCGGTCGTCCATGGTCAATCCGGATTTTTTGTGACGAGAATTTGGTCGAACATCAAGAAAGAACCGGACAACTGAAATTATGCTCTATATGTAGGAATCCTGAACACACGAAGAACAAATGTTCCAATCGTTCAGACACACATATCAATTAAATGGCCTTTTTGCATTATTTCTTTTTTAATTAACAACACATATTACTCATATTTTTAAGCTAAAAAATAACACTCGAATATGTTTATCAAACCATTTTTTCTTTTTCCTTCACAAAACTATGATTTCTAATCATTTTTAATGTCATTTTTACCCCGCTTAAAATGTCTTATATATATAATTAAAATTAAAAAAAATAGTTTTCCACCCAGAAATAGTATTCAAACAAGGCTGTGAACACTAAAGAGAGGGTAGGGAATCGAAATAACCTCGCGCTTTGCAGACCGCGAGGTCTCATAAATCTCGCCATATTTTGAATCATAAAAACTACCTCACGTTTCACAATGCGCGATGTCATTTTATCCAATTATTTTATTAGTTTACCTATAAAGTGTTTCCACCTCAGATATATCTCACGTATTGCATGGTGCAAAGATTTAACAGTTTGCAAGTGGCGAGGGTAAACATAAGGAAAACAAAATGGGTTGCTTTTCAATAACAAGGTCAAAATCCCATTGCAATCATATATGAATTTCAACCTTTTTTATCTTTTCTTCTAATTTTCTTCTTCTTCTTCAATTTTTCAAGCAGTGCTTGCAGTTCCTTGGGAGTTAAATCCTCTAGCTTGACAGTGCAGTTGGGGTTTCACTCTAATGAAACTAATAATTCCCCTGTAGCTTTTGTTTCTTCTCCTAAAAGAACAAAAACTAAGAAGTTTTCTGTAGCATGGTCTTCTTCTGCTACTGGTAAAGTTCATTCCATAGCTTTGCTCTTCTTTTTATTTTAGTTTTCTGGGTTTCTTATGGTTGAGTTTAATTCAAAATGCGGTTTCGTTTCCCCCCCCCCCTTGATTGGGCTGGTGGGTAGTTTTGTTTTGTGTTTTTTTAATAAATTATGGGTGTTTAGTGAATATGATCAAAGGTTGTGCTTTTAGGAGAATTTTGTTCAGAATTGACTGCATTTTGTCACAAGCTACTATTTGTTCTGAAAATGTCTACTTAGTCTGAATATAAGACCAGGACATAGTTGAAATGGATTAGATTCTTTTATAGCTATGTTTTTTAGTATTGTAATGATTGGAGCATGGATGGGAATTGGTATGCCTTGGTTTAGGATGTAAAACCACTTCAATATTCAATGGTATTATGATGAAATTTTTTATTTTTTTATTTTTCTAATAGATGATAATATGATTAATGGTATAGTTATAAAAGTTGTGAACTTCCATGGTATTCAATTCGAGATCCTTCCCTGAAACCTGTACGAATTTGACTAATTAGTCCACCTTGCTAGTGGAAAAGTTATTTTTGTACTGTTGTTGTTGGTATATCCAGAATGGCAAGAACATTCTTTAGACTTTAGAGATGTTATCAACTTATGCTCGGTCTCCATTTATCTGGTTTTTAGATCCATTGTTGGTTAAAGCTGCAAGAGGGGATCCTGTAAGTCGACCTCCTGCCTGGATGATGCGTCAGGCAGGAAGGTATATGGCTGTTTACAGAAAGCTTGCAGAGAAACATCCATCCTTCAGAGAGAGGTCTGAGACAACTAATCTCATTGTGGAAATTTCTTTGCAGCCTTGGGAAGCTTTCCGCTCTGATGGAGTGATAATTTTCTCCGATATGCTCACTCCACTTCCTGCATTTGGTGTTCCTTTTGACATTGAAGAAGTTAGGGGTCCTGTCATTCAGTCACCGATTCACTCTGAGTATTGCTTGAAGGCATTGCATCCTATTGAGTTGGAGAAACTACATTTTGTTGGGGAGTCCCTTAAGATTTTCGCCAGGAAGTTATTTTCCATTTTAATAGTATGCATATATAAAATATGTCTTACTAATTTTCTAAAAGTTTCTTTTTCTTTTCCTTATATAAGTTCTTTTTTATGTAGGTTGGAGATCATGCAGCGGTGCTGGGCTTTGTCGGAGCTCCTTGGACAATTGCCACATATATAGTAGAGGGAGGTACAACCCGCACTTACACGATCATAAAGAGTATGTGCCACACAGCACCAAATTTATTGAGGGCCCTTCTTTCTCATTTAACAAAGGCAATAGCTGAATACATTATTTACCAAGTGGAACCTGGAGCACATTGCATGCAAATATTCGATTCATGGGGTGGCCAACTACCACCTGATATGCGGGAGAAATGGTCAAAGATTTACATAACTGGGTTAATTTGGAACTTAGTTGATTGGATAAAGCATCATTGTATTGCCTTACTGAATAAATCTCACATTGTTGCTTAGAAATTGCCCGACTATCCCTTTTTTCCCCCCTCTTAAAGCTAATTAAGCTATGCATGATACTTCAGGCACTATTTGATTGCTGTCTTTCTACTTCCTGAAGAATTGGTATAAGGTGAAAGCAAACTATAAGAAACAAAATCATATTTCATTAATATGAGTGAATGGCTAAAATGTAAAACTAATCAAGTTTATTATTTGATATAAAACTGCAAGACTGAATGTTGTTTTCATCGGAAGTTAAAATTGCAAGTTTTTTACTTCTTCAAGAGATTGTTTGGTTTGAACCTGAACATTTATTTGGCTAAAAGCAGCTATCTAGCAAAGCCATATAAGGTTGTGAATTTTGAAAATTCATTTATTTTAAGGAAGAGCTCTGTTTTTTTTTTATTATAAATTATATAGAAAAGTAGACAGAAACATTAGGCGAGCCTCTTCTATTACTATTTAGTAGTTACTACCAGCAATCGACTCCCATTAAGTGGCTTGAGAAAAATTTCCTGGGATTGCATGTTTCTATACCTTTCAATGTCTTTCTTTTGGGTTCTTGAAATTGCAGATTGTGGGTATAGTATTGAAAAAAATGCCCCTAAACACCCCTTGTTCTCTACATTAACGGAAACGGTGGCCTCCTTGAGCGCATGAAAGGAACTGGGGTTGATGTGATTGGACTTGACTGGACAGTAAGCGGTTGGGTAGTGATATCAGTGTGCAGGGAAATGTCGACCCCACTTCCTGCACTGACAAAGGAAATTTAAAGGTTTGCCGTATCATCTGAACTTTGTGTTTGAATTTTCGTTTATCTATATTTGAATGTGGATTCTTGTTTCATTTATTGCTAATATTGTTATGGACACACACACAAAGGTCGCTTGATTAATATAAGATGGCTCGGTAGATTTAAAATTGTGAAGCAAGTACCTTACTTGAGGAGCAAATGTCTGATCCTGTGTGCCTGACCATCTGTTGACTTAAGGAATGTCTATGACTGTGTATGTTGGTGTATTCAAAGGCATTGGAAAGGCAATGTTAGAATATCAGTCAAAATGATAAAGATGCATAAGCTTTTAGATTTCGGAAGTTCTGTTTCCGTGTTAAATATAACTTAAACTATGCTTCTAGCTGGTGCATTCTATTTTTCAGGGTTGTTAAGCGCGCAGGGCCACGTGGGCACATCCTTAATTTGGGTCACGGCGTTCTTGTCGGGACTCCTGAAGAGGCCGTGGCACATTTCTTTTATCCGAGAAGCTTTGTTTTCTTACTCAGAATCGGGGACGAAGTAAGTAGAAACAGTCGTATAATTTTATATTAGAGACCAATTCATACTATGTTACAACCATTTATTTTCATGGAATCAAGCTATCTTAATCCCTTGTCCATTAAGAGGAATTAAATTATTAATTTGAAAACCTGCTTCAACTTTAAGAACCCTTGGAACAACACCTGCCATGCGACGAAGACAAAAAGGTTGGGTCTTTAAGACAAGGAGAGAGAAAAGAGGCAATTGCATGCTGTTCACCTCTTCGTTTGATTGAGGTTACTTGCAAATGGTTTTAGGGTCTTTCAACTTGCTTCCACAACAAGACAATGCTAAAGGTTGAAATGCATCCTTTCATCTTTTAAACACTATTGCAACAATCATTTTAAGTGTGAATTAATTTTGAGTGGCTCAACGAGATCTTTTGAAAATCTTTTAAATGATTATGTTATAAAAAAGTATCTTCTGAATAGACAGTATTCAAACAAGTGGATCTTTAAAATAAAAATATATAATTTTTTATTGGTCAAATTATATATTTTTTGTCTGTTGTTTTTAAAAAGAATCTAAAGGTGATATTGAAACAATACAAACTTCTTAATAATAATTTCAAATCCGAACCTACCTGTTCACGAATAATCCAATCCAAACTAAATTCAATTATAGAACCTTGATTTTTTTTCTATCTTTTTTAGATTTGAAACCATTATGAAACTTTAAATAGTTTTTTTCCTTATACAATCGCTTAATTACTTAGAGGTTTCATTATCTATAAATTGAAGGATTTACAAGTTTAAACACACTTAAACTCCATGCCGTCCTGTATGATGCAACAACAGTACCAACCGATTGAATTCAGTGAACTAATTGACAAGAATTTTAGGAATCATGTACCTCTATCAATGCAGATTTTCTTGCTTTCAAACAAATCATAAACCTATATGATGATCGCCCATTAGCCTCCAATAATTCCATCTAGATACATATTTGCATTTATCTAAAACTTAAATGATGCAAATATATCTGCAACATGCCATTGAAAACATGTATGCATGCAAGCAAAATGCAAACAGAAAAGAGAAAACTCAAGTAATTTTGATGCAGGCTAATGTTAAAAGAATCAAATGTGCTCCCCCCATCTGATATATCTTAGTCCTCATTGTAACATTGATTTGATCCTTGGTTTACTGCTATTGCTGAATATCATTTTCAAGTCTTATATATATATATCATGTTTTTTCAGTAAATTCATGAAAGATTAAGGAGTCATTAGTGTTATGAACGGCCCCACATTTTGCTAGTGATGAGAATTGAAGCAAATGTACATCTTTAATCCAAAGGCCTTGGCTGAAAAAATGGTGCTATAATGACTGTAAAGTTACATCAATCTGAGAAGTCTAAACTGCATTCTAGTAATCAAGATAAATTTCATCATCTTCCTAGTACAATCTGATATAGACATCCAATGTTAGTGGCTGTTATACTATCTAGGGAAGGAATGGCTAAAAAAGATATCATTTCAACAAGTCTAGAAAACTGATTAGGTATACTTCAGATTGACAGAAATAAAGTTAAAACAACTACAATGGATCTTGAACTGCATGAGAAAGATCACGGAAGAAGAGATAATATCCAAAATATTCGAGATTCGAATATTAAAGTCTATGAAAGACAAGATAAGAAATGGGACAACTCTACGTAGCTATGCTTTCAACACTTTCAAACTTTGGGATTTTGGCCCCTCAGAGCATATCAGTCTCTCCTGGTTCCAAGGGAAATTTTTTTCAAGTTGCAATTCAGTCTGAACTTTTCTCAATAATTTCCAGCTACCTTATCAACCTTTTATTGACTTGAATCTTTTCTTTGCTTATATGTTCCTACTTTGATAATTGTACATTATATTCTCAATTCCCCACCTTTTCATTTCAAGTTGCTTCACACCTACATCCTAGTACATGCATATTTTTTATAGGATTGATTAAAGTTGAATTTTAATTAATATGGTAACATCCATGTTGTCCCTTGCTGATATTTGGAGCATTTTATAATGATTATCATTCTCTTTTCTTTCTAAAGGGGGGCATGGTGTTTGCTATAATTAATTCCAAACTAAGTATTTTTTTTTTAATTTTGGAATTATTCATATATATGAATTTCCTCTTACTTATTCAATCTATCCAAGGATAGAAAAATAATCTAACACTCTATCCATATATATTCAATCTCTTAAAGAGTAGTACAAGCATTACAAAGACTACATGAACTAAGCTTGATTAAGTATAAGGTTATTCTGTTCAAAATATTAGAAAATTTGGCCATTTTTCACTGGAAGTTAACAAGAATTGCAGATACACTAGCTGGTTAGGGAACTTGGAAATAGTGGGGCTTGGGAGGAATTTTATCCCTGAGTGGAAGAAGGAAAGTTAACGACAGTAATTACTAGCTCATGTAAAAAAAATTTATTAATCCTGAAGAGGATCCAATGATGTTACTGTACAAATCAAAGAACATTATGAAGATGTGGGACAAGATAAATTTAAGTGGGGAATGAAAAAATACATATGAAATAGGAAAAATATATATAAAAAAGTGGGGGTCTCCTTATATTATTATGACTGTCATTAAGCCTAAAATCCTAATATTCAAATATATCTATAATTGTATTATAATATATGAAATACATAGAGAGATACAAACGGACAAAGATGATAATATACATATAGGTCCTAGAGAGCCAACCACTTTACATGTAATAATTTAATGTACTATCTTCCTAGTCCTAGATGTTAAAGAAGATACCATATAGTAGTTTATACAAAATTATAAAAGAAGAATAATAAAAAAATAGAACAGTTGAAGTATGAAATTATCAAAGTCGTTTTCATAATCAATATACGTATACCTGGAGGATAATAGTTCATGGAGCATGCTTAATTGAATTTGACAAAATACTACTAATTAACTAACTCGAAATATAAAATAAAAAGAAGAAGAAAAACAAAGCAACTTACCCTCTTCACAACTCCAGTTTATATCCATATATTTATATATATATATATATATTGTCCCATTTCCCGCTTTGATTCTCATTTAAAACAATAAACACAGTGCTGATGAACTAGCCATCTACCAGTATCTTGATCCAAGGAGGAAATGATTGCTGATTTCCCAATAAGAGTGGAACTTCAGCATGATGATGCAGAACTAGTAAGCAAACTGATTCAAGCTCTTGGAATTTTATTTTAGGACCTGAAATAATTCAAATCATGTGATCAGTGAACTTGAAATCTGGGGTTCTTGATGAGATGATTTTAAAGGATATGTGGTGGTGAAATTTGTTAATGATTTTGGCATAATTATGATGCTTTTGCATTTTTCATGTTGCTTGGACACTAATATTAGCTGCAAAGCATTTGTGGGTTATATAAAAATTGGGGTAAACAATTAGCACTTTTCTGATACAGACAAAAGAAGATCTGATTCTCTTGCCTTGATCGCAAATAGAATTATCACCCAAGAAAAGGACATTCATTTAATGGCAAGTTAAATCAAATCATTAAAAAAGTTATTATTATTATTATTATTATAAATCTAGTGAAATCCGGTATATCCTAATCTATTATAT